TCGTGAGTGGCCTCCTCTGAAATGACACACCGATTCAAATATAGAAAGACTGGGCTCCACAGGAGTGTGTCCCAAAGGGGCACCTCCCCTTAGTCTCCTCTCTTTCCATCAAGTCCAGACCTCGTATCCTCAGAGACACCCTCGTCTTTTGCCTCACGAAGTAATCAGAGCCATCCACGAAGGACTCCCAGAGTTCTCCCTCCACCTTGCAGCCCTCAGATCTGTACACACCCCTCCTTTGACCTCAGTCTCTTTTGAGGGGACCTGTCTCATGTCCAAAGCCAGCCAATTTTCCTCTTTCTGCTCCTTCTCAGTCCATCACCTTCCCCTGCTCTGTGGACCAATACCCCAACTATGAAGTCCTGTGTGGCCTAGCTCCCACACACCTTCCCAGACCTCCCCTCTCCCCAGCCTCATCCAGGCCATGGGAGCTGCCACAGCCCCTCCTTCCACAGGGCCTTGCCGCATGCTGCTTCCACTGCCTGCCTGGCTCTTCTCTGCACCCAGCCCCTTCCAACCCCACACACAAATCCTCTAGTTAGCGCCTCCTCACCATCAGATCCCAGCTCAGGCATCATCCCCTCAACACAGCTGCTGTCCCCAGGTCAGGTGAAGTTCCTGTCTTCCAGTGTCGCATGAACCTCATTCTTCACAGCATTTACCTCACCTTGCCCTCACACACTGGGCTGCTGGGTCCTTCATTCTTGACTGTTTTTCCTACCACACCAAAGGGCAGAAGCTCGTCCATCTCATTCATTCATTCAACTGATAATGACAGACCATTATGGAACACCTAATCTGGGCCAGGCACTGACCACATGCTGGGAAGAAGACAAAGTCCCTACCCTCCAGGAGAGGGAAAAGGAACAGTAACCCAGTAAACAAACAAGAAAAGTGTTGTGAGCACTAAAAGGAAAGCCTGCTTTGACACAGAATAACGGAGGAGGGAGGGTTACTACAGAAAAGGCAATGGAGAAGCCTCTCCCGCGCTGGCGCTTAGGCTCAGGTGCATGGCACAGAGGAGGCACCCATGTATTTGTCAAGGAATGAACAGATAAAGCTCCTGATGGTTAATTCGTATTTTTTTTAATTTTTATTTATTGAAAGAGAGAGAGGCTGGCACCTCCAAGGTCCTCACACTAGGACCACCCCCAGTCTCAGCCGCCAGAACACAGGCACATGCCCTGTGGGCCGAGGGAGATCCCAGGACACAAACCCAGGCCCTTTCCCACGTAGGTCCAGTTGTGTTACCACTGTGCCACCACCTGGCTCCAACTCTGCACTATTAGAACTGTCCATTCTTGGGTCACCAGGTAGTAAAAAGGTTAAGGTGTTGGATCCCACATGGCCAACTGCACAGTTTGAGTCCCAGGCCCTGCAGCTTGAAAATCCCACTGGGCCTGTGTGCATGCATGTGTGCCCCCCCCCCCAGAAAAGAACTGTCCATTCTCACAAAATAATGCATGATAGATAATGCAATTAATCCCAATCTACAAATGGAAACTGAGGCCCAGCAAGGGGGGGGAGGTAAAAAACTTGCCTAAGGCTGTAAAGTACTTTGGAAACGTGGAATAATCTAGCACTCCCCAGTTCCAAGGCCCCTTTCCTAGCTTACTTCCTTCTTTGGTCCTCTTCCACATCCCTGTGAGGGAAGGATTACCGCCTTTAGGAAATGAGGTTCCCGGGCGTTAGGCCATTTGCCCAAAGTCAAGGCTTGACCTGACCTCGGCCAGGCCTGCAGGCGGGTGGGCAGTGATGAGCCCTGCCGAGCGAGGCCTGCCCGCGAGCCCGCGGGCCCAGTACCTTGTTGGCCAACTTCTTGTTCAGCTCCTCGGCAATGGAGTCGTTGAGCTTCCTCTCGAACTGCCACGGGGGGATCCGCACGGTGTCCACCATCTCCACCAGGACGAACATCCCGGCTAGAGCTGGGGGCTCCGGAACTGGAGGGCCGATTACACACAGGTGTCTGGGGACCGCGGGGTCTCCGAGCCCTCTCCGTCCCGTCGCAGTCCCTGAGGCCTCGACCCCAGGACCTCAGTGGGGCTGTGTGGTGGGTCCGGACGCCCGCGGAGGGCCGTGTCCCGCCACCGTGAGGGGAAGAACTGAGGCCCAGTGGGAGGAACTTCTCCAGCGCCCAGGAGTGCGCGGCCCTTTCGCCTTCCCGCACCACGCGCCGCCACCACGGACCGCACTCCGCGCGCAGCCCTCGCCGTCAGCACTGCTGTCGGCCAGACTCCGAAT